TTAAGTATTGTTTTCGTGAATACCAGTAAATCAGTAGTATGAGATGTATTCACCCAATTTCGTTTAAGGTTATGATATTGCAAAAAGCCTGGCTTTCCTTTAAAATTCACATTTTCTCTGTGACCCGGAGGCACTCGTGGTTAGCGTGTGAATGTTCAAGGTTCGACTCCCGCTGAGGGTGTTGATAAGACCGATGCGGGGTCGAAACTGCAGTCCACTGGTGCCTGGATGAGAACAACTTTAGGGAAAGCAAGGCAATGTGAAATTCAATGGAAACGTCAGGTCAACTCATATCATTGTGGGAAAATTCTTCGTCTACCAGTCCTTCGTCACCTTAAACAAAATTGAGTGAATACATCTCATAACCTGTAAACAGCAAAAAGCACTCATTTTCATATAAAACTGTGTCGGATTTCTGCGAAATTGCTCGCGCCTTTGGGATAAAAATATGCAATTTTGAGTATAATTTAGTAAACTTTTTTTCCGGACAAGGCAATAAACCCACTAACATTTGTATAGTGTTGTGCCAAGAGTTGGGCTTGTTTTTAGGGCCCTTTTTTGATAAATAAGCGATTCTAATTACTCATTCTAGGAAAGAAAAAATAAGTGAATTGTTGCTTATTAGATGGCTACTCGGCTTATTCACCCTTTTGGGAAATGAATCTTAATAAATGGTACAAATAAAGGAATGCACACTTACAACATCGCCTTGTTCTGATCTTTGTCGTACCAATGCACCTCTGTAGATTATGATTGAATTCATACACATAATGGTATGTTCTTCCAATGCAGGAAGTCTCCTGAGAGCAGGGAAGTCGCTTCACACGACTTGCCGGGCAGGCTGAAATTGTTTGTATGAAAAGTATAGACATTAGCCGGGATCCGATTATAGTTTGAGCATGTTGATAAGACGACAAAGTTTTTCATCTTATATTAAAGCCAGATTGCCTGGGCAGCCAAAATGTTCTCACCTTTGATGCATATGCCTGAGACGACCTGTTCAGCGAACTTCTCGAGTCGCGGAGACGCGATTCCGCCTGCCTCCTTCGCGTCGGGCGCAATGGAGAGATGAGCTTGCTTGGGCGGCGAGACCAACTGTGTGATGAATCGGATTGCTGACGCACGCGGACGAACAGCCAACGCACTAATCACAACACCCTGACTGCGCAACCTCTCCGCCTCACTGATCGCCATCACGGACTGATCGTTGGCGCCATCAGTAATGACGTACACTATCCGAATGACGCCAGGTCGACTGCGAGGCAAGACCTGATTTGTGAAATGTAAAAGTGGTGACATTTCATTTCTAGCTCGGCCTAAGACTCAAGCTATTCCACAAAATCTTTGTAGTCAAGTCTCAATAATGAAGATTAACCTCATCTTGTGTACTCGAGAAGAAGCTGGAATGAATGTATGAATTGGGCCCATTAAAAATGAAATTTGTGACTGGCAAATTGTGCTAGACCAATCCATCCTTAAGGAAAAAGCGTCGAGAGCAATCAACCATACTCGTGAAAATAATCACACAATATTTAGATATGACAGATGGTCGGTTTTGATCCTTCTTATGGCCTAAATGTATTCAGTAAATACGATATCCCATGATTTGATTGGCTATTTCATGCAATCCATATATTTAAGTGGTAAAGTAGGATGTGTGAAATGGACACACCTGCGAACGAACAGTTGGTTCCACACTAAAATCACTTGTATTTATGCTTCTGTAATGCAGATTATTGCAGTTGTGATTGGTTATATATTAGTAGTATGCAAACCCTCAATAGTAAATCAAACCTCCATCTTTCTTTCTGCCGCCTGTGATGAGGTTGGTAGAGCATTTCGACCAAATAACGTCGAGAACTTCTGCTTTTCTTTCATGAGTCTAGAAGAGATGGTGCTTTGTATAATGGCGATCTCT